GACAAGCCAAATACCTGCCCAAAAGCTCAAATGACTTGTCCTTTTTCCTTTAAATCTCCTTCTCTAAAAATACAAAATTTTTTTGTTTCCCTTTGTTTGCTTAAGGTTGGCACATAAAGGATTAAAACACCTTGGATGCCACTAATAGTTGCAAGAGAAAAGGCAGAGTCAAAGCCAGCATCAACCTTTTGGTTTTACTTACTAACCTTCAGGGTTAGCCACTTGTCCAGTAGCTCCTGACCTTTGGTTGTTGCAACTCCCACCCTCCCACTCCCCCAGAAAATCTACTACCTTTTTTCTCTTCACCTGGGAGGTTTCTGGGACAACTGAGAAAATTACCCCTTATTCATTTTCATTAAGTTTTAGACAACACAGTATAAGGGCTCCAACTGTGAGCCTGACTTTCTTCTCTCCTTTCTGTTAAGCAAAAAACACTCTCACAGCAAGTGGGAGCCTTTTTGTGTCAGTGGAATCATACAATTCCAAGCCTACATCCACAATCATTGCCTACCAAAGCACTGAAGCATTTCAGTAATTTCCTTGACCTCCAGGGAAAGTACTGAAACGTCAGCTTTGTCTTCTGTAAAGCAAAATAAGGTAGATTGACTACGCAGGTATATAGACAGCTTTGCCATTCAATTTTCCTACTACAAAATTCCAGGGAAGGAAGGATGAGCTCTGGGTGGAGTTCATAGTCATCACTAACCCATTCTAAACTCTTCAAGTCTTCTTTACATTGCTGGCTATGGATAGCATTACCATGCTAACAAGCATGGAGCGTATCTTGTGTACCGGCCCATAAAGGAAATTCGAAACTGATTACAAAGGTGAGACCCTTTGGACATTTTTTTCTGAAGTCATTTGTCTACTAAAACCCATTATACTACCAGTACACTGCATATACACTACAATATCAATATATTATACAATATCAACTTTACACTCATACAAAAAAAAAATTTATTTCACTAAGCAAGCCTTATCTATTAATGGCTTCTTCCAACCACACTACCATACCCCTACCTCAAATTTTACTGCATGTTCATCAGTCCTTCTGACTTGAAGACAATACTTCTTAGTTTTACTACTCATCTTAGACAGTCTTAGCAAAGGACAAAAGATTGTATGAGCCCCAAAATGTTAAATCAGATCATTAAAAAGGTCGTTAACAGAATTCACCATCTGGGCAGACCATCAAAAAGCTTCAGTATTTCAGAATCTGCCTCAGTCACTTGGATCAAACCTTTTCCACTCTGAGGCCCACAGAAAGACTGTGGGACTGATTTTGTATTGAAGTCAGTCCCAAGGACTTTACAACAGCTAGTAAACTCCCTTTCAAAAACTAAGCCCCAGTTCTATACATATTCATGCACAGAATGTGTATCAATGACTGGCTTCCTTATTCTAGCAGAGGCATTCACCACTCCGCTGTGTCCCAGAGAACCCCAAATGTGGATTAGTTTTTGTAAAGAGCATCTTTATATTCTGCATTGCAGAAATACACTAATACTGTAATTTGAAGTGCACTTACTTCCTTGTCCTTGATCATCTTCATCATTGGGAAATAAGTCATCCAAAGGCTCTTTGGTGGAATCTGTATCTTTATCCTCCTGTAGAACAACCCCAAACCCAAACAAATTGTTACACTTAAATCTAAGGCATAAAGGGACAGTCCATTTATTCAGCAACATTAAAGGAAAACCCCACATTCAGAAATTAGGCATTGCCAAGAATAACATTTCTCATAGCTTACTGAAGGTCCTATGTTCAAATACATTTACATACTCTGTCCCAAAACAATACAGGACACCTTCAGAAAAGCCAGGAATAGAAATCAGGTCTCCTAGATTTCAGTCTCAATTTAAGCACACAAGAACACACTTGCTATTCTTACAGAGACTTACTAATGAAAGTACCCAGTGAAGAGTGAACGTTACTGTATATGGAATTGTCCACTGTACTTTTTTAGTCATAAACGCAGTTATAAATGAGCAAGGGAGAGGAATAAGGAGATTCATCTCCTGAAGGAGAACAAAGTTGTACCAGCAACTTCAATTCTGTCACCTCAATTTCTGAGTACTGAACTTCTGCACAAATAATAGATTTTGCAATTGTGATCTGTGAGGTTCAAAAAGAAAAAAAACCACTCTTGAAAGGAAGTTCATCTCCAATAGTCTCCATCTGGAACCATATTAATTTCTGCACAATCCACCAGTATATATTGATTTTAAACATCCAAAGATCATTTCAAATCCCACAATCATGTAAAATAAAGAAACATCCATCAATCCTGTCTGCACAATATAAATAGCTGAAATTCTCAGAAATTTTTATCTCAGTAATGAGAAAACCCAGGAGGCAGAACACATTCCTATTTTTCTGGGTCTCCATCCAACACCTTTTTCCACAGATGCGGAAATGGCAACTGTTGCCGCCAGCATTCAAGTTCAATGGTGGCAAAGTAGGAGCTCTGCAAAACCAGCAGATTGATAGGACTAGATCTCAGATGGGAAGTTCTTAATATTAAGTGTGCCGATTCCAACCTCATACTGAGCATATGCAGTTGTCTGTTTTCAAAGGCTAACAACAGAGACTGTCCATATGGTTAGTTAAACTATAAAGATGCTTTGCTTACTTTGATCCTATTTGCCAATTAAACTTCAAATAATGGTGCTATTTAGGCGGTTTGTAGATTACAGATCAGAAGTTAGCACATCAAAATTCCCTCCTCCTGCCCCTTTTCTAAACAGCCTTCATGACAGTATTGAGCTACAAACACCAACTCATTAAATAGCACTGAAAAGTTCCGCATGCAACTGACCAAAACAACTCTCACTACTCAATACATTAAAAAGTATTTAGTCAAGCAGTCAGTTAAGCATGACTAAAAAGCATACATTTTAAACCATTGTGTTGCTGAAATAATTGGTTATGAAAAACTGTTCCTTCCAAGACACAGCTGAGAAGGTCTGAACAAACAAAATGAGGTATTTCTCTACAGTGCTATCTAACTTAAGAAAACGAAATAAAAGGATAGCAACAAGGGCAAATAATTCAGAAGTTTTTTTAAGTGGTAAGTTACTTCTGTAAATTAAAAATGTATCCATTTTCTCTCTAAATCTGTGTAACACAATGGACTAGCTAAACACGACTGAAAATATGCAGATGATCACATCTGACAGAGGGTCATGAAAGGGGATTCAGTAACATCCTATCCAAGTGTAAATTCTCAACAGATATAAAAGCTACACACTGATTTCACCACATGAAAATTAAGTATTTTTCTTGCAATCACAATAAGCCAAGTCCCCTATGTACTTAGAACCTCTAATAGTTTACATTTCCTACTTATTTTAACTGCTGAATAGAAAATTTTTGTCTTGAAGTTCAGGTCTTCCTATTTTTTAAGTTAATAGGATACTAAGTAAGTATTTATGGATTTTGACCCTCATATGTATTTTATTATCTACAGACAGCAAAACATTTACTCTCTTAGAACAAGAATGAATGGAACTCTCGGAATCTTTCTGCAAACCATGAGATACTGGTACAAGGTTAGCATTTCAACGACAAGTTTAAGTTAGAGACAAGTAAAATGCTTATATCCGTAATTTTCTGGTAACTAGGTACATTATAACACATACGTAAACGTAAGGTGCTTTTTACTGTACAACTACTTACTGATGGTGAAATATCATCGTCATATTTTTTTAATTGATTCATGAATTCTAGATGTTTCTTCTCTTCCTCCAGTTGAGCCACAGACTGCTCACTTTTCTGTAGCTTCTGTTGTGTATTGGCAAGTTCATCCCGTAGCCACTGATTTTCCTGGCATAGCCGGCGAACCTGAGCACGCAATTTCTGCTTCTCTGATTCCACTGCATTTAAGTGATTTGACAAGGCCATCATTACCTAAAAAGCAGAAGGTGTCGCATGACATACTTCCTCCAGAATGCAGTGCTATATTTCACATAACAGCCTTTTATTATTTAAAACCTATGTCAGCTGTGAAATCTGGTAAACATTCAGGTATCTTTATATATATGGTTCTCACTTTTCCTCTGAAGCTTTTACCATTTTTTTCAGCCAGAATTAACCTAGAGGAACTCTTTGCTAATGATTGTTTTCCATGATGCAATCAGAAGTCAAATTGTTTTAGAATTCCTTGAAGATTACAGATAATCTTAAAATACCTGAAAAATTTGAACTAAGATTTAGATTACTGAAATGGAAATCTTTGTTCCACTAACATGAAATGGAGCAGTAATACTTTTAGCTTGAAGGGTCACAGAAATAACCTAAGAACTAACACAGAGTTCTAATTTAGCAACTTTCAGACAGAAAAGGATTTGTATACATGCTTACAATTCACAAGGATGAACACCTCAGCATAACAGTAATACTTCAAAGGGACAATTATACTGCTGAGATCTAAATGTGCAACTGAACATACAATTTATATAAGCACTTTATATATACATATCATAAGCTTGAGCATGCAGACTTTCAATGTGTTTGAACAGTCACATTAAGGACAAAAAAAATAGAACAGCCATAAAAGCAGCCTACTTGGATTTTTTTTTTTTCTTCTAAGCAAAGTTCAATGAAAAAGGAGCTTGTTAAGTGAAAGGCAACCACTACATACAGAAGATACTCTCTCTTCACTGTTTATGTAATCTCCCACTGATACACGTGGAACAGCTGATGGCAATCCCAGGAAGCACACCTTGTAAGAATGGGCAACTGGTGATAATAAAAATCTTCTTTTAGATGACCTTGACATACCCAAGTTATTAGTATTTAATCTCCTCAATTGCGCATTTCTTTAAAACAAAGTTACTTGGAAGTGTTTTTAAACTAAGTCACTTCACGTGAAGCAGATGGTGTCCTTAGCTGAAATTTCATGTTTCAAAAAAATACATCAAACCTTTGGAAACTACTTTTTCCTATATAGGCAAGAAAACTCCAGGTATAATTTCCTAATACTAGTCCACATCTCCAGACTTTAGCACCTATCTATTTACATATTCAAAACTGTTAAGAATTTAAATTATTTGGCCTATTCAAACAGTGGCATTCCTAACATCAGAAAGGATATTTAGGAAAGTTGTGATAATAGGGTCAAAATGGTCAACATTCCGCATGTTACAATGGCAAACTAAAATCCTTTGTAATTTTTCCTCTCTAGAATTAATTGAAATAAAAGTTTGATTACTTCTTCAGCAAAGTCAGTTTCATTTTCATGGAAATAACACGTCATCAGACCTACATCCACGTCAAAAACATCTACAAAATATTTCCATAACTTAAGTACTGCAAATAAAAAAAACCTACATTGCTGCAACCCAAAGCATGCGGGAAGAGTAGGCTTATCAGCTCTGAGAGCAGTACTCTGAAGTATAATTGCTTTCCTAACAAAGGCAGTAAATGCAGACTTCTTGGCTCCTCGCCACCACAGTTCACAAAACACCATGTGGGACAAAGACAGCAGTAACATCTGCAACTGAGGCTGCTGAATTTGATAGAGCCAAGAATCAGAACTAGCTTTTTGGAGTCCCAGTACCATGTTACAGTCAGGGAAGAGAAGCTACTCATTCGCTCACAGATCTCCTACAAACACCCACTGAAGGTAACTCAACTATTACAATTTTATTCCATATATCTTCTAGTATTTTCTTCCAACAGAAGGGATCAAAGCTTGTACAATGAACTAAGGCCTGACAGTCTGTAATGTAATGATCAGGGGTTCTACATTCCCATGTCTGGTAACCTATATTTGTTCATTCTCTCAGGCCTCAATTTACCACGATCCAATGCACACAACTTCCAGATCACCAAATAATGGCTTGCTCCAAATGAGAAGACAGAGCACAGTTATAGACTAATATAAAGCCAACTCACTGGCATTTTCAACTCATTTGCAAACACTCTGCCATTTTATACTGGTGACTGTGTTCCATCACATCACTTCTGGTTTTTGATCCAGTGCAAAATACCTTAAAGCTGGACTGTAAATATAGTCCTGACATCCTGACTAAACGTGCATCTTCTCACTCATCTTCTGCAGACGATACTTTCATCAACTAACACAGTTCACAGGAATTAGCTCAGAGTCCTTTCTTTAATACATCAGTGAAAGTTGTTCAGATTGATTCTTAGCATTTAAACTGTTTTTAGATTCAATTTTGGTTTAGTAAAATGTTCAATAAACATTGCAGATTCTTGAGCTCCAGCAGCATCATGAGCTCAAGGATCTCAGAATCAAGGGAATAAAAATTATGAATTTAAGGTTACAGGAGAGCTCAAAGATTGGAGCTAATTCATTTGTAAGACCTCCCTATGCAATAATTTAGAGTTAAAATGCCAATGCTCAGTTCTTGAGCTGCTCAAACATTACCTGCCTAATGCTGTAGAAAAGTCTAAACAGAAAATAGCAACTGTCTCACTGTGCTCAGTTATGAGCTTCAGTGCTTTAGTACCAAATGCATAATTAGTTCTGTAACACTGCAAGGCAGACAGCATCTACCTGTATTAAGTACAGCAGTCTTTTTCCTTAACATACAAAAGTAACAGAGGTCCCAGCACACTGCTAATATTCAGTAAGGCAAATGTAAGTCCTTCAAAACTGATCTGTTCACTTCAACATTTCCAATTATAGGTCAAATAATGATCTTTCTTTTATTTTTGTTTACACCAAAAATTCATTCAAAGCCTGAAATGCTTTATTTCTACTGCAATTTTACCTGTGCTTCACTAAGGCCAAGCTCCAGCATTTCCAGTGACTTTCGAATCATGTTTGATTTTTCTTCAACCAGATTAGTCTCATCATCTTTCTTCAAACATTTCAGTGTTTCAAGCAAGCTCTGTAAAATTGAGTTGTGTTCATTCTTCAGTGCCTCTAGTCCATTAATCACTTGCTTAGTTTTGGCAATGATTTCATCTTGAGTGAGCTTCTCCAACTTCTCTTCCTTTAAATACACCATTGTGGACATGTTTTCATACATTCTGAAAGAAAAGAGTCCACAAGTTAACCCATAAGTAACAATAAAATAAGCAATTCTCTATAACTGAATAAAGCTTTCCTTTAAGAAGCCATTAAAACAATTGAAAAAAAATTGAAATGTATATTCAGAATGTAATTATATTTTTGCAGAACTTTTAGTGTTTTAAGTCCTGGGTTTGAACAGTGTTTCAAGTTTTCCAGCTTCTATTTCCGGAGCTAATATTAGCACTAATTCATAAGCCAAAAAACAACTGAAAATAAAAATCTGTATTACAGTATGTCAGAAGAATTTCTAACAAGCACTGAAGAACCAGGTTGCATCTCTAGGATGTGCAAAAGCAAAGAAAATGATGTACAAAAGACATACTGTAATAGTTATTCTCAGATGCCACTGATCTACAACTATCTTTACAAATATCCACAAACTAGATTCTTGAGGAATTTGAAGAAATACCATCCAACCCTCTAAAAGCATTGACCAGTCAACCATGAGAAAACTTGTCCTTTTCCAGTAAGAAGGAAACACCATCTTCATCCTTTTCCAAGGGCTACAAAAGCTATTACCATTGCGTATTTTGAAAATAACGCCTGCCCCCTAAGATTACTTTACATTCATTATTGTAACTCTACAGTTACATATAGACATCCGATTGTCTACAGGTCCAGATGCAGCTGTTTTGATGAAGCTGCAACAGCTGTCTCATGCTGGAAAAAATGGTTTGCATAACACAACCCCTGCAAGAAACATTTCACTATGCTTTTGTCAGTACCTCATGCACTACATAAAGGGTAGCAAATTTCTGAATGTTTGTGAACACCTCTACCAAATGCAAATAAATATCAAAAACAGTTCAGAAACTCAGGTAACTTTATATATGCTGTTACTGAAATGACATACAAGTGTAACTGTAAAAATACAAATAGAAGACACAGAAATCACTGATCCTTTTTAAATGTCACAAGAAAGGTGCTCTATAATCAAAATAAAGAATTGATGAATTGCTCCTTTATACTTAAGATATAAATATCTTCAACTGAATCAGAAAGTAGAAAATAAATAAAGTGGGAAAGATTTTTCAAAAGCAATAAACTATCACATCTCTATGAAGACACTTGGGGAAGCTTTGATAAATTAACATTTAAAATTAATTAGCTAAACTGTATTAAAACTTTGTACAGAAACAAGTCTAGTTTTAGAAGAAAGGAAAAAAAATTATAATCACTGAAATCTTGAATAAGAGTGCTATAAGGAACATGCATATATACACCACTTCCTGACAACAGCCAAAGGATGTGCTCTTATGCTCTTGTGTTACATTAAAAAAAAAAAAAAAAAAAAGGTTGCTCTTTCTGTTTATATACCCTCTCTGTTATGGTCTCCTGCAATGCGATACGTAACAGGCATTCCCATTTGTCACAAGAGCTGTACGCTACACCGGCTTATTTTGTAATAATCTATTGTCTAAAAACACAGATAATTTGGGGAAGCAATGAATTTGGTTTTACCACAGTTTAATGCAAGAACTTCATATTCACAAATATATATAATACAGAGCATATATATCTGAATAAAACATCTAATGTGAATAAAACATCTAATGTAGCATGGCATAAGAAATCAACTCACCAAAACCTGATGAGCAGAATTATATTTACACATTTCCCATTTATAACCTGAGAACTATTACCCAGAATGCTTAAATAACATTTTTAAAACACATACTCTCTAAAATTGTGTATAAAAATGAACTGCAATTTAATGGAAGTCAAATTTGGAAATAAATGCTTCTAACATGCATAGCCATATATGAAATTGTTATGGATTATGCCAACTTCAGCATACAGCTCAATCCTAATTATTGTCAGCATGCTTTCACACTTTCAATTAACAATTTCCATCTGAATGCAAAGAACCGAACCTTTGACCATAAGGAAATAAACCAGTAGAGGACATATAATGAATAGGGACTTCATTTTCTATTAGAGAAGTTCTGAGAAATAAGATTTTAAAATACCTAGAGTTTTTCTACAACATTCCAAAATAAGTACACGATCATTTGTCTGTCTTACGTGAACAGTGGTATCAATTCCTTCTGCATGCTTCAATATTTTGTAGTTATTCTACACCAAAGATGGCAGATGTCTGCATGCTTGTATGCAATACGTGTATAGATCTTGTTTAAAAAAAATTGCACATTTTAACCACTACAGTAGAAGTTAAATGAATTCTAGGTGATTAATACAGATAAATTAACAGCCATTCACTGTTACAAAAAGAATATACAAAACCAAGGAAGTAATACCAAAAACATTAGGACTTGCAATGGTCACGCCTTCATGCAAAAAGAATAAAGTAGCCTGGGAAGTACCTGTCCGACACATGAAATCCAGCCAAAAGACAAATCTGCATGCACAATTACATCTACGGTGTGAAATGGACACTAATTCATTACTATGAAGAAAAAAGGTTGTCAGATCATAGGTCAAATCAGGCACACAGCGCCAGCCAAATACAGTGAAGTTGTAATTAATGAAGGCTGAGCCAGCACAGAAGCTTCTGAAGAAAGGAAAAGCAAGTTTAAATCCAATGGGGCAAAAACATACTCAAAGCCCATCGCAACAGTAGACGTGCTTTACAAATACATGCTGCTTGTCTCAGTCCGGTATGCCAGATTTTTAAATCACCTCATTCTAAACCAAATATAAAGCTGTATAGCATATATATAGCATGAAAGCTATAAGCTTTCACTGCCTCAGAGCTACCCGTACAAGCAACTGTACTGGAGCTGCTGTCAACTCAAAAGCTACATCGAGACACAGATTGATCTGAAGGTCCATGCAGCCAGGGAGAAGAATTCTCAAATGTCCTCTAATGAAAATTGTTAGAATCCTAATCTCTCTCAATGACAAGAAAGGAATAAACCTTTCTGTGTAGGTTTCATAGGGTGTCTGTTTAAATGATCTCTGTATAAAACACTACAGAAAATGTGGACAATGTTGTTCAGAGTTTTATAGATTGTGCTTAGGAGAATAATTTAGAAAATGGGAGAATAACAAACATGTAATTTATCATGCTATCAGATCTGATTCTTTGTAGGAGTAAGATTAATAAATAAATACCTAACATCTTTTAAGAGTAGTGTGGGGGTGTGGTGCTATTTCCATGATTTTTTAAAAATATATTTTACAAAAGGGCATTAGCTATTCAAACAACAAGACCATATTTGAATACATAATCATACAATTAGTTTTGCATACCCTGAGGCAGCAAACCCACACAGGAAGCACAAAAGTTCCGTTTGCATGCAGGAAGCAGACATGCATGTACACAGAGGAAAAGAGACAAAACCTACCATGCCTTCCTATTTTTTTTTAGGGCATAGTCAAAGGCTTCTTAAGCTCCTGTCAGTTTTATCCTGTATACAGTCCACTGCACTACAAGTTTTACTTGTTACAGGACAAGAATTCTAGATCCAAATACTAATTTTTAATACAGTGTACAATTGAAAAACAAAAAATTAAGATGCACAAAGGTTTAGTTGGAAAACAGAAATTTGGATAAGGGAAAAAAATGCAATGCAGACAGTTATAGACTAGCCAGCTGGCTTCAGCAATTTACATATCGTATTAGCTATGTGCCTGTGTAGAACTTCCTTCCTGGTTTATTTACCACAACAGAGACTATACTAAAGTATAAAAGTCACTTAACACTTTCCAACACACCTAAAAAAATAATCAAGCCATTTTCTTCAAACACACACAAATTAACAGACTTGGACAGATCAACATAAAAAGCCCTACAATGACACCTACTAAAGAAGTTTGTGCAGGATTTTATAGTATGCACTCCAATCGAAGAAATGGATTGAGAATAGCAAGAATCTGAACCAAAGAAAGCCTAAAGAAAGCAGAGCCAAGCTGCTGGGATAATCTCATCATATACAAACAACTTCAGTGACTGTAGCTTTAATCATTTGAAGTATTTTGTTAGTCATAAAACTTTCAAACCAATTACACTAGTAACGCTGACATTACAATTTGTGCCTAAATTCTCCCATGGACATGCACACATCAGAGCTAGCTACTGCAGCTCTTCAACTTGTATTTAAGGATCTCTTAAACATAAATAGCTTCTCCTACTCAGCTACTTTAAAAAAAGTGTCATTTCCCTGCAGATCACCTCAAAGAATTCCTGAACCAAAACACATAATCATATGAATCTTTCTTTGTATAGGAAAACTTATCAAGGAAGAATATTTTTCTAAGAAACCCACAAGATTTTTTTTTTCCTTGACTGAAGATTAGCATGAGTCCTAAAGACAAATAAACGTTTATTCTAAAAAGTTCTAAACTTTTATTTTTATTTTCTTGTTATGTATTCCTAAGAATTTCCTTTCTCAGTATTGATATTTTCATTATTTAATAGTCAGGTTTCAAATACTAAAAGTTTGGAAGATAAATTTTTAATGTATCTAGTGTCTGATCATTACTGTTTTAAAAAACAATTAAAAAAAAAAAGTCAGTAAACTGCTGTGACAAGTCAAATTCTCCCTAAACCTTTTCCTCTGAATACACAGATAGCAGGCAGGATAGCTGAAAATTAGAGAATAATGTGTCTGCATACAAGAAAGAGTAAATCATTTTCCTAACAGTAAAAGCAACTACAAGACTGGCTCAAGCCATAGCTATGGGGCCTGTCACCTACAAGCACTGCAAATTCCACGATGATACAGTATATATTAATTTGAGCTTTTTGTATCTCCAATATATACCTATCAGTTCACTGTTTCATAACAGTAATCAGTCTATTCAGGGCTTTTAACCCTAATTTCAGTCTTAGTTTCTCCTTAATTAAATGGCAAAGCTCAGCATCCTACATCTGGCATGCACTTGTTTCATTTCGTATTAGCTACAAATTTCAAGTCATTAATTCCCTGCTCAGACCAAGGACGCATCTCATTACATCATGGCACGTACCATCTTGAAAGTCTGCTAATCTTCA